TTCCGGAAATATCCATATTGTAGGGTATTTGTCAGTTTTTCTTGAACCAATGGCCACCATCTTAGATTCTAAAATGTAGCCTGGAATCGATATCCGGCCTCTACACGTCATCCCCTTTCCGGAAATATCCATATTGTAGGGTATTTGTCAATTTTTTTTTGAGCCGATGTTGTGTTTCGTATTCAAGTCAGTCAGCTGGCACTGAAAACTCCAACAATAGGCGGGACAACAGCTCACTTTAATATATCTCAGATGACGTAGCGGTTCGTGCTGGGGCTCTCACGCAGAAGGACGGGGTTTAATTCTTCAAACAGCTCCATTACTCTACTAAAGCTGATAAATCAATACACATTTAGAAATAACTTTCATAAAAGTACGAACTAAATATAATATTGGTGTAGAGGACAAAAACCCTTTTAATGTATTTTCTAAAAGTTCCGTGCAAGTTCCGCCAGAGGCTGCCTAAAATGCTCTTCAATTATGGTACTGGAACTTTCAAGTTCTTATAACGACTTAAAAATGAGTCTGCTTAGAATTCTATAGACCACCTTCAACCAAGCTGCTTAAGCCATAAATAGCCTTTTATCAGAACTTTGGGTTACTTGGGCGATTTCCGGCCTCTATACGTCATCCCCTTTCCGGAAATACCCATATTGTAGGGTGTTTGATAGTTTTTCTTGAACCCATGGCCTCCATCTTGGATTTTAAAATGGCATCTGGAATAGATTTACAGCCTTCTATACACGTCATCCCTATTACGTTTCGTGTCCTCATATTGCACAGCAACATCTTATATGCACAAGCTTTCCAGACATAACATATTAAGGAAGTTCATGTGCACACTAGCGCCACGTAGTGAGAGAGTTCTTAATAATATTACCACTATCCGAAAGGACTTGGTCACCTGACCAACTTTGCTGAAGACAGCAATGTTCTATATGGCCAGGTTCTCGAGATACAGTTTATATAGGAAGTTCACATGCACACTAGCGCTGCGTAGTGAGAGAGTTCTGAACTAATATGAACACCATGCAAAAGGACATGATTATCTGAGCAACTTTGCTAAAGACAGTAGCCTTCTATATGGCCAGGATTTTGAGATACAGCTTATATAGCATGCTCAAATGCACACTAGCGCTGCGAAGTGAGAGAGTCCTGGACTAATATGGGCACCATCCGAAAAGACTTGGTCACTTGAACAACTTTGCTGAAGACAGTAACTTTCTATATGGCCAGGATCACGAAATATTCTATGTTGGACCTATGATCCATATATTATAGCACCCGTCATAAGTAACATAAAAGTGAAGCGCCTCTAGCGGCGTAGTTCCCAATTAACCCAAATAACTTTGTCAAAGACAGTATAGCTCTATATATTGAAACAAATGAGATAATCCACCACAGTCCCTATTAGTGAAAATCCCATAAGCTGTGGGTATCCTTATTCGCGGATAGCCCGGCAATAAAGATCCGGCCATAAGGAACACCGGCAATAAGGATTCCTGACTGTACATTAAACGTTACTAATATCTTTATTAGTGACCCCAAGCAACCAAAAGTTCGGATAAAATCCCTTTTTTTGGCTTAATAAGCTATTCGAAGGATTATGAAGAGAATTCTATTCAGCTTACTTTTTAAGTAATTAACCGAACTTCCAAGTTCACATTCGATGTTTAAGCTTCTAACAAAATGCTGTTTCACTTTTAAAAAGAACTTGAAAGTCCGTAAAAAGTTCGTTTAACCGTTGGAAGGAATGCTATTCAGCCCAAAAAGAAAACTTGAATGAAATCAACAATCCAAAATAGAAAACAAATAAATCTATTATTTTGCTGCTTACCACGTTCTCTTCTAATTTATTATGTCTCGAACTCGAGTCCTCCTCTTTGAAACCGAGATACATACCACTGCTCTATGTGAACGAAGTGGAATATCATATGATTTTACTCGATATGTTGATTTCATTCATAAAAATGGTTTTCAGAGTAGCCAAATCTACTTTCAATGCACTTCAAAGTCTCTGATTAGTTCATGTAGAACCTTATCTGAACTTGAAAGTTGCTAAAAAGTACATACACGGCGAATGAGAACGACTCAAATTTGAGTTTAGTTCACTCATAATCGCCAAAAGTGCAGGAACTCAGCGATGAGTAAATTTTCCTCATGTTTTCCCAGGTTTTTCCAGGGAAATTATCCCGAATTTGAGAAAAGTAAAGATTGGATTCACTCAGTCTATTGGTGCTACTCCGAGACTGAATAAAATTTTCGTCAATTTCCTCATTTTCCGGCAGATTTTTTAGGTTTTCCACAGGAAACCATGAGACAAATTTAACTCATCGCTGCGTTCCTGCACTTTTGGCGATTATGAGTGAACTAAACTCAAATTTGGGTCGTTCTCATTCGCCGTGTACGGAACTTATTGTGAACTTGCACCGTTTGACATTTGACAGCTTGTTTTGTTTTCCGCAGAACTTTTCAGCAACCTCGAAAAGTGCGAAACAATTTGACTTAATTGTAGTAAATTTACCTGTTTTGAGACTTGTTTTATTCAGAAAATCATCAAGGTATGGTAGTGGAACGCAAACCTCAAGGAAATTTATTAAAATAAAATATATTTTTTACTTACAGAAATGCCATTCGTAGTAGAAACATTGAAAGCTCGAAGCTGTAAGAAGCTTTCGGTCGTTCCAGATTAATGGCTGCGGAAATGAAAAAGTGGACACATTTTGTTCTGGCCAAACGCAAACAGTATCGCAGAACAATATAAATCGATCCGTGACGAAAAAATCTGCTAGAAATTGACATTTCTAAATTTGCTTTCAAGTTCAAGTCAAGGTTCAAGTCGAACTTCCTTCGAACTTATCTAGAACTTTACGTGTACTTTAAAGTCTGAAAGAAGTTCAACATAGATTAATTGTCAACTTTCGCGCTGCTTAATAGTACGGTTAGTACTAAGATTGAACTTTGTGTTAGAGGTTCGAAACAAGTTCTTTATTCACTTTTTGTGAACTTCAAATGAACGGGAATAAGAAACTTTTGTTGAACTTTCAAGTTTCCAATAAATATTGGCGGTACTTTAAAGAGCATTAAGTTCTGTTTGTACGTGTAGTGCCTTGTCAATCAGCAAGAAAGTTCCACGGAACTAAATTTGAACCAGATGTGAACTTTTGAGTTCGTTTCTCAAGTAAAATCTGAACTTTAGGTTGCTTGGGACAGCTCGTTTGTGCGGTGGATTTGAAAACGCGCGAATTTCTAATGCGTGTTGCAAAATGCATCGCACGTGTAATTTGATTAAAGATGTAAAACGGTGTAACAAAATTTTAGAATTTTCGCTTGATTGCAAAAGTCTGTAAATATCTGTGAAAAAATTAAAAAGTCTGTAATTGTCTGTAACGAAGAAAAAGTCTGTGAAAAAATAAAAGTTTGTGAATTCACATACATGTCTGTATATCTGGCATCTCTGTGACTACTACACTCTAAAAAACGTTCGATTTACGTGAAATATCACGTAACTGATCTGTATTTAGAAAATCTCAATTATACGTGACGTTAGTAACTTTGACCTGCATTACACGTCATGTCAACTAAAAATGTTGGTGAAATTGACCGTATATTCACGTAAACAGATTTAGTGTATTTGTGTTTGTGTGTTTGGGACTTCGCTATTTCCGTGAAACGAGATTTACGTGACTTTCAGGTACGCAAAAATATCAATATGGCGTAACCGAGCGTGGTGGAAGAACTCCTCAAAGATTCAAAATTCCTCAGCGCTTGCTGCAAATGTTGGTCGGTAATTAGATTCTTTTACGTTAATTTATTTTTGATTATATGAAGCCTTTTTCTAGTTTTATCATTTTGGACGGTGACATCAGCATTTTAAGTCTGCAAACAGGAAATTAAAAAAAAAAAACTCATACAAGTTTCTACTTTATAAACATCAGTTAATCAATATTTTACAATTTTATGAGCAGATATAAGTATTAATATAAACACGTTAAATTTATATCTTCCCGGAAAAATTGCATAATATTGGCTGCTTCTATATATACTTCCCATTATTCTCATTAAAAAGTCACGTACAAACTACATGAAAACCATTTTAAACAAAATGGAATGTCACGTAAAAGTCACCATATGTCCAGTAGTTTTCACCCCGATTTCACGTAAGCAGTGCGTGGAAATCAGGTCTTCTTTACCTGACGAATCACGTAGATAATTGAAGCTGAATTTTGATCGGCTACGTGCAATTCCGGTAAAAGTTACGTGAAAAATAGGGTGGACGAAAACCACCTATGTTTTCACGTCAATCGAACGTGAAGATTTTTCAGAGTGTATGATTGATACTTCAACCACAGGGTTGCTTTAATTAAAGCCCTACAGTACTGTAGGGCTTTAGCTTTGATCTCCTTCATCTTACCCCTTATTACAAGTTCGTTCATAATACTCCGAAAGGGTGCTCATTTTACCCCAACGATTTAATTTCGATTACAAAACGAATGTTTTTCAAATCTTCTTGCATAAGATTCAAAAGTTTACATTTAATATTCAATTTCAATCCATTTGGTTGAACATCATATGAATTTTCCACTGTATGATTAGTGATGATTTTCTTAAAGCCAAACTGCTCCACTTGCTGTTGGTTCGGGGAAACCGTTACAAATCTAATCATTTCTCAAAGAAACACATAATCGGATCAATCATTTGCTCGCTTCAAAATTTGTATGCGACGAATCAAAAGCTCTGCGAATTTCGCAAACAACCAACCTGACACAACTGCCACTTCGAATTCGAGTAACGCATACACACAGCATGCAGTGCGAAAAACACTGACAGCCCGTGCGTTACCGACAGCGTTTTGCGCCCCGTGCCCATGCAGCAACCAGTCAGAATTCAACCAATTCGTGCCCCATTCGGCCTCCGGTTCGGGTGCCGCTCGCATACACTGCCGTAGTTTTGTTGTTTGTTTCCCCGAACAACACAACCGGATCGTCCGGTCGGTCGCTGCTGGTGCTGGTCTTCGTCTTGTTGCCATCGTGTGCATTGTACAGTTTTATCGCGTTCGTCAGACCGTGCAGACGCACACATTCCATTGACTCGTCCGTATCCGCGCGGTGGGATCGCGTTTGTGTTGTGCTGTAGCATGTAGTGAGCCAAAAAAGTCCTACTCTTCTACTCGCCGTGTGTCGTCGTCGTCATCGTCCGATTGCTGTTTTGTGCCGTCGTCGTCGTCGTTGGTTGCCGTTTCACCATCATTCCAGTGTGGAAAGCAAAAAATAAGTTACAAATTTCGGAAAACATTCCACACGAAACGGATCGGAAGTGCGGAAAGTGTAAATACACGTAATATCGCGGTTCGATACCGAAGTTGGCCAGTGCAGTTTGGTGTTTACGAAATGTGACTTGGTGTCGAATTATTGTTGGTGAAGGAAAAACGGTGTTTTCCAGCGTTCTACTGTAAGTGCCAGCAAGAAAACCAGTCGCATAGGTAGTGGTTGTGTGTGACATATTTTTTTTCTCTTCTCCTGTTCGTTTCGGTTTCGGTTCTCTGCAACAACTTGCCTTGTGAGTGGCCTGGCAGTGGATGTTTTTTTTTGTTCGTTCTCTTGTTTTTCTTTTCTCTGCGTGCGTTTCGTCAGTTTGTTGTGTGTGCTGCATTCCAGTCAGAAAAACTGCCAGCATGTAGTTAAACCCTACCTCCACCGAAGTGACCGTAGTGGGCAATCGTGACGGTAGGAAGGAAGGAAGAAGTAGTCAGGCAGTCAGTTTTCAAAGTTTTCGTATTCCGTGAGTGTTTGGTTGGCGTTTGGCCGTAGCCCTTGTGTTGTTATGTATTTGTGAGCCTCGCGAGCCCACAACGACGACCAGCCATGTGTGAAGGCCAGAAAGGCCCCGAAGGAGGAAACACCAATTCAGTGGCATGGTGAACGAAGAGACGCGCGACGAGGGTGGAATGAGCCAAACCAAAACATAATAAGCCACCGTCTAGAAACGGATACTGGTCACTAGGGAGTGTTATTTTTCGGAGTCGAAGAGAGTTGGTGGAAATTTTGTTAACCGTGAAACTTGTTGGACACCGCCGTTGGCTGCTGCTGTCGGATGGAAAGGGAAATTCTGCGAATGGGTGCAAATTGATGCTTGCGCTTCGAGACAGACAGCGAATGAGGCGCGCACTCATTCGAACCAACTACCAGAAGAGAACCGTTAAGCACTTACCAGAAGGTTGAGATAGCGAACCTATTTTGATCGTATATACATGGCACAAGTAAGCCGATTTCAGACGGGGCGCCGTGAACAGAGCCTTCTAGGCGGCATTGCAATGCAATGCAAAGGTATTTGAATTTGACCCACTTGCTAGCTGATAATGGAATCAGTATAGGTATATTTGTAGTAATGGATGATACACAGGGAAACAATTGTGAGCAATTCAAAATGCACGAGATGCATATCAAACCAAATGGAAAAAGATAGCGACGGGTTTACTGGTGCTGATGTCTGTGTCAGGGAAATTTATATTCTGACGAGACGCTGACATAAAATATTCTAAAGAAAGGGTAATGCTGACACGAAAAGACGCAAGCTTATAAAATGAGAATCTATCACGAGCATGTCATCCAGATGTTGGTGATCTTTTCTGCACCAGGCTTTGAGAATGAGTTTCGCAGCATTATGTCATTCAGACCTTGAAGACACAGATGTTTGCAATGTTGCTAATGATATATGACTCAGTATGGTATGATTAAACATCTTTGTAAATATTGTTCGAGCATTTTTGAGACTTCATGTGATGTTATGTTGTTATTGGAAACATCAAAAAATTCCACTCAACAACCTTCTGATGAAAAGCAAATCTTTCATATTGGTCCTATGCATACTATGAGTGTGAGTAAGCTTTTCGGTAAATACTTTTGGGTCTTCTATGACTATGCAATAAACAATTCCCATGAAATTCTACCAAAATTAATGGAAAATCGCTCAGGTATTGGCCCATTATCAGTTTCTGTTTTTGCACCCGTTCCATTAAAGCTACCGTATTTTAAAGGCTGTTGATTGAAAGTTATGAGAGGAGGATGTGGTGTTAATTAAATACCCTGAAGAGCTAGACGAGCAGGTCTTTTCCATAGAAATCCACTCAAACAAATTCATACCATGATAGATGTGTGCATATTTGATCTGCAATAAGAGCATGCCATTAGTGACTGATATGCGGTGATGCCAGGTTCAATATAAAAAAACCCGAATGAACCCACCTATCAGTGAAATGTGCCTTTCTTGTATATATTCCAATGCTTTATTTTTTGGGAACAATTCTTAATTGTTTATGTAAACATAAGCAATATTGGGGCAAGCCATAAGGGTTGATCCATTTATTATCTTATTCTTCTACGGATTTCAAGCTTATTGCTTATCGCAGATTAGCTTATTGCGTGTTCTAGATGCACTTTCAAAGTTATTAATTGAAAGCATCCGATGCCTGTTTCATTTTTGAATTAGTATAATTGTGCGGCAGGTACAATCATACTCTATGTCCAGGTAAGTCGAGAAATTTTCCAACCCGAAAAATTTCAAGACCGGCCCGGGAACCGAACCCAGCCATCTCCAGCATAATCTTGCTTTGTAGCTGCGTCTTATCCACTGAGCTAAGGGAGGCCCCTATCAATTTATTATGTCACGCTCTGATGGGGCTTTAAGATTCAGTGACTAGCAATACAAGCCAGCGCTGCCCCCACGGGCCGGACGTGGTCTCTGGGATCAGCAGTGATATCATTTTAGTCCAATTTGATTCATCATTAGGAATTTTTGCCCACAATGAATGAGAAATGAAACAAAATGCCGCTGGAAAAATTTTCATCGAATACAGTAATGCCCCGTTTTTGTCAGCCCTAAATTCATCACACTGACAAAATCGGGACATTTTTTTTGCTTAATTTTTTCAACATAATATCTTTAAATGCTGTTTAATAATGCAAGATTTATGTTTTAGGAATCATTCAATATATACGAGCCCATTTAGGGGGCGGGGGAAGCTGGAATTTCAAACTTTTCAGTGTCATATAAGGAAAAACATTCTTACATTGATGGTGTGGAGGGGGGGGGGGTGGCTTAATGGACTTAGGTAAGAATTGAATGGCCACTCAATGCATATGTGGTTAAGCATTTTCTGTAAGAACAACAATAATAATACATAGTACATAATAAAGGCTTGCATATGTTCCATGGACCCCGTATTAAAATTGTCTGAATGAAATTTGTAAAGATTTTCACACACACACGCACACACACACACACACACACACACACACACACACACACACACACACACACATATACACACCCACACACACATACACACACAGTCGTGCTATTCTGCTCCCAAGAAGGGTGACACCTTCTTGAAATGGCAAGTGGGCTAATAGTGCGGCTGCCCCTGTCCCGGTAAAACCTTGGCAGGCCTCCGGATACGTTCAAAACTCGACACCAATTGGTGATTGGTGAGTAGTAGGCTCAGATGTAACATTACGATCTGGCTCTGAACACGGCCCCCATGAAGGACCGTGTCAACCCTAGCATAGCTTCCCTGATAGGAGATCACGATATGAGACTACATACAACGAGTGGAGATAGCGGCCCGGAGGGGGGACGCATCAGAATGGATATAATCGGAGAAAAAAAACAAAAAAAAGGCGAAAATTAAAAAACCAAAAAAAAATATGAAGGACGACGGCAAGACACCAGACAGTGAAAACGGAGGAGCGAACGTGTTCGCAAGAAGCGGAAAGCTTCAGAGATCACCAGCGTCAAACCAGGTGACCATAGCGAGTTCCAGTAGTAGCATACCCCAAGTGGAACAGCATGGGCCCCAAAGAGAGCAGCTAGGTGCGGTGCCATGCCATATATACACACCTAAATCCAGCAGTGGCAAACAGCAAGAATTGCAGCACGGAGGTTAGGAGGAAGATCGATGAACTCTATGCGTTCGTGAAAGATAAGAACAACATACACAAGGAGGTCAAGCTTCTAGCGACGGTCATCAAATCCGGCATAGCTGTGGCAGATCGGGAACTGCTAGAATGGAGAAGAAGAGCTGAAGCGGCCGAAAAGGCTCTGCTTGAGGCCAAAGAGAATGCAATGCTGGCTGAAGCGCAGGAGACGCTGAAGGGACCAACGAACCCACGTCCGGAGAAAAGAGATAGGGAAACGCCAGGAGACGAAGAGGACCCCAAAAACACAAGGACGACGAATACGGGGACAAGGAGCAAGAAGATGGAGAAGGCAGTGATTGGCGTAAATTCGAAAACCAGAAGGAGAAGAGGAAAAAACTGAAGGAAGAGGAACAAAGGAAGAAGGAAAAGAAGAATGAAGAGGAAGAGAAGAAGAAAAAGACGAAAGAGAGGAAGAAGGAAGTCAAGAAGAAGGAAAACCCCAGGCATCGTAGGGAGAGAAGTAAGGGCGACGCTCTGGTTATCGAGGCAAAAGACAAAACGACATACGCAGCACTCCTCCGGAAAGTGAGAGAGGATCCGGAGTTAAAGCAACTAGGCGAGAACGTGATGAAAACCAGGCGCACCCAGAAAGGCGAAATGCTCTTCGAGCTGAAGAAGGACTCGTCGGTGAGGAGTTCAGCCTTCAAGGAACTCGTCGAAAAATCTCTTGGCGAGGACGCGAACGTAAAAGCCTTATCGCAGGAGTCAGTGGTCGAGTGCAAGTATCTGGATGAGATCACAACAGAAGACGAGGTACGATGTTCACTGAAGGTGCAATGCAATCTGGGAGATGTGCCTATGACAATCCGGTTGAGAAAGGTGTATGGTGGTACACAAACGGCGTCGATACGACTTGCGACGGACGCAGCTAACGAGTTGCTGAAGACAGGACGAGTCAAGGTTGGGTGGTCAGTATGCCCCCTGAAAGCGAGGGATAGCGAGGGTTACCAAGCAAATGGAGAGATACTTTAAGTGCATGAACTTTGGTCACCAGGCGAGAAACTGCAAAGGCCCTGATAAATCGGAGCTGTGCAGGAAATGCGGAGAGAAGGGGCACGTTGCTAAAGACTGTATAAAGCAACCGAGGTGCATGCTCTGCAGAAAAGAGGACGGAAACGGTCAGATGACGGGAAGTTTCAGGTGCCCAGCTTACAAAAAGGCGATAGTGGGCCAATATTTAGTAATGGAGATAACCCAAATAAATCTCAATCATTGTGACACAGCACAGCAACTGTTGAGGCAGTCGACAACGGAAACAAAGTGCGACGTTGCAATGATTGCGGAGCCGTATCGAGTCCCTCCAGATAACGATAACTGGGTGGCCGATAGAGCAGGGATGGTGGCAATACAAGTTAACTTCCACTTGACGCAGTTCCATGGTTGCTTCAGGAAGTACCTGCATCGCTTAATTCTCGAAAAATGTCATTATTGAGCTCTACAATCAATAAAATACGAATACGACTGTACAAAACAGTCCACTTCAACCAAAACTAATTGAATCATA